TATCCAGAAACATTAATCATGTAAAAATAACAGTCAGTTAGATGATCTTTGGGCTCACGCCATATCATAGGAACTGCAAATGGAATATTTGCTCTCTTTCTTTATTCAGCCACTGTGTCAAACCAGATGTGCAAACTCTACAACACACATGTGAATTCCAATGTTTTTCTTGGTCACCAATTTTACACCCAAAATAGTGGTAGTAAGTTTACTTTATCTTGTGTGGGATTTTTTTCCTTCGTGAAGCTGTAATACATATTTCATAAATGTAGCAGAAACTCTTTGGGTGATTTTTGCACTTTCGGACTTTGCTTGAACTGTATGATTTTCTAAAAAGTATAAAAATTATGTTTACGGAACTAGAGTTTAAAAGATTTTAAAAAACAAAGTTTTGCAGAATTTGATTATATCACAGGTATGATGCAAAGAAAATTGGGCTTTGTATTGTATTGCACAGAGCAAGGCAAAGTGACCAACTGGGTGAGTGAGAGGCAACTGAGAGAGAGGCGTTAGACTACACCCATCTTATGCTCAGTCGAGTGACTTCTCGAACGTTCTAAAAATATTGAGCACGTGACAGTTTCGTGATTCCCGGGCGGAGCAGGTGTGAGTGGGAGTAAAGCAAAAGTGGTGCAATTTGCTATAATTATATCGAGAACAAATAGTATATATACGAACATCATATTTGGAATTTTACACCAATACAATACAGTCAATGTTTGAAGTTATCAAAAATATATTCCTTTTACCCATTAAACTGTCTAATAAACTTAATTTCACAGCATAAATCTATTTTACTGAGTTGATTGCATGATATTTCACATAGTGCTGATAAAATATTAAGACATTACATTAACTCAAAATCTAGAGGTGATGGACATATTCTGACATTTTTGAAATCGGCACCATCAAATTATCCCCAAATCACTTGAGTTTTCTCAAGTAGAAATTTTTTGTTGTCTAGTGTAATAAAACAACATTAAGAAATTCTTATGTCACTCTTATTTGTAAATTCACCCTTCAATTTCCTGAATTTACGTGTTTTTTTTTTATTGGACCAGACCAAATTGGGATCTACTTACATTTACGATAATTATATTTAGTAAACACTATATTCAATGATCATAAAATATCAATTTATCTTACAAAATAAATAATACATGTTTACCCTTTCATCTACCAAGGTTTGTTTGTTTTGGAATTTCGCGCAAAGCTACACGAGGGCTATCTGCGCTAGCCGTCCCTAATTTAGCAGTGTAAGACTAGAGGGAA